TATTTGACAGAACTATCACGAGACTGATTGACTTCTCCAGTGTTTGAGCGATAACGAAATGAGGCCTTTTCATGTTGTACAAATGTTTATTTGAGATATCTGATGACATTGAGAGTTACTGAACCACAGTCGACGATGATTTTTGTATCAAGTTCCAATTTATAATAAAGAGATGAAGTATAGTTGATTTTTTTCTTAATAATTAGTTTGCTAGGCTTATATCTGCGTGGATGTTAATTGTCGTCTAACTGAAGTGTAATGTTTCCAAGTTTTGTATTCTAGTCTTTGGGCTTACATTTCGTATACTTTCCACATTGGCCTATTTAAAGTTATACATCTTCTTGTCTATATTTACTGAATACTCCCTAATGTTCCCATTTCCGAACATGATGGTGCTGGAAATATCTGCAACCGATTTTTTTGATTAAATTTTTTTATGTCTTCTATGGACAGTGGATACATCAGCTTCTACAAAAATATTTTATTGGTCTACCATGTGATGTCAAATGGATAACGTTGCATAGTAACAATTTTCAAGACATCTTTGACACGTTAAAAGTGATATATTTATTGGGTTAATGTAATTTTCTGACTTTATGTTCTGTTGATAAACACTCACTGATGAAGTTGATAAGATATTTTTTGTCTCTGAACACTTTGTAAGGTAGATTTTTACTACATTTGCCAGTTGATCAGGGATGTAATGAGTCTCGGCAATGGAAATTTTTACTGGTACACAATTCTTCATATGAGATGTTGAGTAGTTACTAGTTCATTTGCAAGTTTAATCTGAGTATGTATCACACGTATGAGTACTTGATGCAAAACAAATCAATCAATAGTCAAAATTGTGCTGGATAGTAAAAGATAAGTAGTCATACTAACGTAGTTCATGTCTTCAGTATGACCTGAAAAAATCAGAGATTAGAAAGGTTAAAGCTTGTTTGGTATATACTTAATGCCCACTAACCAGTAATCCTCATGGTATCAAGTGCTTTATACATATACTCATGAAAAATGAAAATCGTTTTTTTATTTATTCCATAAGTGATGTAAAAGTCAACTAGTCTCTTAACAGTGCTGTCAAGAGTAAACCATCTGGGCATGGAGAAAGTAGAGTAATTTTCAATCCTATCTTCTCTATGGTTTCAACTCTGTAACTAACTTTACAGCATTCTCGTGAGCCTTATTCCTAGGAGGAACACAAAATATATTCCTAAGTAACCTGAAGAATTAGGACTAAAGGTTTCTAATGATTTAGCATTTGGAAATGGCTTTGAATATTTGTAGCTCGATATGTAGATGTTGGGACTGAGTCATCCTCTGACTCGGGATTTTGATAGGTAGACATTTCAATATCATTCCAGAAGCCCCATCAATGCCTCACGAGAAACTGTTAAAAGCGGTCCATAGTATTTTCCTTAAAGCTCAACTGATGCAAAACCCTTTGCTTAAATGAGTAATTAATACATAGCACAGAAAGGATTTAACCAGTTTAAAAGCTTTTAAAGAATTGATCCGAAAAACTACCTGTTAAATTTGATTTTCATCAATTTTAATATGAACACACTTCATCTAAATTTATGGATATTAAGAATGCTGTAAGTAGATGCTTCTTTGCAAAGCCGATGCAAAGACACACAATCCTCTTCTTACCTTTAGAAAAATTGTCAAAACAAGTTATACACCATAAAAAGAAGAAAAAAAATTACTCATAAAACTTGAAAGTAAAATGATTTATGTTTTGGTTTTCTTGTTCTTTTAATAAGATCTGTAGAACAGAAATACCTATCTTAACACCAATGAAGCGGAAATACTGATTCGTTTCAAAAAAGTACTTGGGTGTGTATATAACATGTGACTTCGTAAAACTAATAAATGTGTACACTAGGAGGTACCATTGAACCGATGTGTATAATCTTACTCCATCAATTGGTTAATTAATTTCATCTTGGGTATAAATGAAGTGAAATATTTCTTGGTATTATTTTCTTCTCATTTAGGAGAATATAGTTATTTTCCAATTATTAAAACCTTTCGAAAAACTCTTTTTGTCATTTTACCCTGAGGATAATGAACCAAATTAGCAGCCTTAATTACTAAAACTTCTGAAACAATCAAACTTATGAGTTGACGAGAACATTTTCCTCATCCAAAGAAAACAACTATTGACAATCAAAAATTCTAACCTATAACATGTAAAACGCTAAAAATGGTTGACGCTATAAACATTTACTCATCTGTAGTGCATCTCTACAAAGAACAAGATCCGGATTTTCAACACCAATCCAGTCAAGTCAGTGCTTCTATGCGATGGTTCACAGACTTGGCGCTTCACCAAAGGCATTCCTAACAAATTACACATATTCATCAACAACTGCCATCTACACTGGCTCCTCACTGAAGCTCAGATGACCAGAATAGTCAGAATAAGCAACAAGGAACTCCGGAAGGCAACAAACCAATGAAGCAAGTACCTATCACCCTACAAATATGCAGAGTGAAGTGGATATGGATTGACCATACACTGAGAAGACCAATCGGGGACGTCATGCGTCAGGCTGGCTGGTCGAGTGGAACCGCGATGGGAAGCGACGAGTTAAGCGTGTGAGGTGAGGGTGATATGGAGGAGATGATGTGAGGAATAAATGAGAGGTTGTTGGCAGTGGTGGAGGCAGGTTGGAAAGATTGGAGATAAGAGAGTGGAATGGAGGTGTACTACTGAATTTCTATGTTCCATTAGGAACTCAAAGGAAAAATAATGATGATAATAATATAACAATAGTGCATCTCTAGGTGCAGTACACTCATCTCCCATTTTTTTGAATATTAGGTGTTGAAGCTTATAAGTGACAGAACTAAAGAGCTGGATGGTTTTCATGGATAATCACTGTCATCTTGTCCATTCCAGAATCCATTTAGAGTTGTTTTCCAGTGAATATAATCTATCTGAACATCAATTTAATTGAAGTTAACCATAGAAAAACTGCATGGCGGCTTCTGAGAAAACCCTGAGGAATACGTCTTTAAATTATCAAATGTGAGATTAAATCTGATCGAAAATGAACTACTTCTCTTAGGATTGAAGCTTCACACGACAAGTAAAGTTACTAGCAAGATTGATACAGAAACTCACTTCGAGAATTTATTTGACCAACTGATAGATTTACATCCAATGAATGATAGTGATCAAAAGGGATTATTTAAAACCAAGATGGTCAATATTGTAAGCCAATATCTTATTTTACTAAACCCATAGTCGAAAATTTTGTTCGAAGAGCGTCGTATAACATTAGGAAACCTGGATGAGAATGATAGCACAATGGTTCAGTCAGCAAATAAAGGCTCGGGGGTTGTGTTTATGAACGTAAAAGATCACATCACGAAGATAAAGTCGATTCCCAATAATCTTTTGAGATTCAAGGAGGAAAACTGCAGCAAAGATAAGACTCATTTAACTAAAAAGTTAATCGAAAATACGTTGAGAAATAAATTGACTGATAAACCTATATAAAATTATCTGAAACTCTAAGGGTCTCATATACCGTATATGTGGAGTGTGGAAGATACATGGGCAAAACGTTCTTCTGAGACCTGTAGGACTGCTCAGTATTGCAGATAGTGGTTCAAATTTATAAAAACTATCGTTGTCCATTACTCTTGTTAGACATCATTATGAAATGATACATTTAAATAAAGTCTTAGAGGGATAATTGTAAGGGAATCAGCCTCCTCATACGTTGTAGATTTCAACTATTCTGAAGAAAGGGTTCTTCATCTATTTCCATTGAAGAACATTTCCTTATTCATTCTGGAAATCTATCGACTTAGAATGTTTCAATGCCTTCAGAGTAATAAATATTCATTGTGGGGATGAAATCCTACTTCACTAACAGAATATATATAATACAATGTTACTGTCATTTCTGTATCGTTTAGAATGGTCAAGTATAAAACAGTCTGGAAATAATCAGGATTAGAAAAATATTTTTTTCACTGCTTATACTGTCATTCAGACCATTCTACAAAATCACAAAAACTGTTTACTCAAATCAACTTTTAACAAAGTTGGATTTGGAGCCAATTTTCATCTGGTGTATAATTTACATAACGTTGGTTCCTTAAGATGAAAAAAAAACAAAAAATAGGTTTGTCTGATGAAATTAGTACTGACAATTGAATTTAGACTGGTGAACGTTTTAATATTTGTACTGGTTGATGATTGAAGGTGAGATGAAAATCTGAACCACAGTCGGATTCGAACCATCGACCATCGGTATAAATACTAGTTTGCTAAACTACGACTATCTCAAATGGTCAAATGATGATCAATATGATGCTCGCCCTCTTTGATTCAGTTAGATTTGGATTGGGATGAGAAGTCGTGACTAAGCAGTAGGCAGCGTGAATACGATCAAGCGGTAGTGACGCGTCACGGATTCATTTGATAGCCAGGCAAAACCCTTGGTGATTGAAATGAAATAAAATTCTAGTCAGCAGTCGAACCTAGCACCTCAGTTGGTAGAGCACCAGGTCGGTAATCCAATAGCCGCTGGTTTCAATCCAACAGCGGTCCAGATTTTCATCTCACCTTCAGTCATCACCCAGTACAAATATTAATCTGCCAAACTATGGCTATCTTAGATAGTCAAATCATAATGAATGTTTTAGTGTCATACTAGGTATGGAGACAGTCACCAAATTAGAGTCTAAGAAGAACTTTAGTGGTACACTATTATAAAAAAAACACTTTTATTATTTCAGAATATAATTCCTAGATTACACATTCATTTGACATGATGGATAAGAACAACAACAATGGGCATATATATATATATTTATGAAGTAAATACAAAGTACTTTTACAAAAGTTAGTTTATTTCTGAGTCTTATTCAGTTGAAATGTATCAGAAGAATAAGATTCCAGGAAGTGTTATACATTTGCTTAATTTGCAAATATTCAAATTATGATTGATTGAAATATAAGTATTGTTATAAAATTAAATTGGAACAATAGAATGCCACATTACATGCATTTTTGATGGACTTTTAATCATTTCTTCCCATTGTTTACTACCAGTTGTTTGTTGTGAATCTATTCCAATTTGTACACTACCTAATACATGTTTCATATGTAAACGATTGACATGTCTCAGTTGACAAACAATATTCAATCCATTGAGATTATTTTCTTTAAGAGGAAAACTTATCTTTTGATTAAAGTATGGATTAATTAATTCTTTACGTTTATACGTTTTTTGACAATGAAGAATATGTTTCCGTTGTTTAAAGAGTACTAGAATGTCTAATTCACGTTGCTTTGATATAGGCAAATATTCATCTAGTTTTAACTGTCTACATTCATAAATACATACATCTATACGTGAACTATTTGGATAATAGCCTATACCAATGCATAATTCACCTAAACCAAAGTTATATCCTGTTCCAGCAACTAACCAACCAATTTTTTCTAAATTTTTTCCAGCATATTCACTTTGATCTTCATCTTTAAGATGTATTTCCAGCTTACCAATACTCATGTCTTGAGAGATACTATCATATGCAAACACTTCAAATAATAGTACAGATTTATTAAGTTCACTTTCTGCAACATTAAATGTAAATAATTGTTTCCAAACTGGTCGATTAGTTTTTGAAATTATTTGAGTTTTTTCTTGTTTACCAATAATACGTAAATTATGACCTTCATATTTAGTTAATGTAACTGTAGCATATGGATTAAATGTATCTGAACCGATTGGTCCAACTAAATTACTAGCTTGTAGTATACCAACTTTTAATTGTCCACGATCTAAATTATATTCAAGGGAATATTCAAGTGATCCATATTTAAGTTGATCAGGATTTTGTACTAAACCAGGAATTTCATCAACATATATACCTTTTGGACGTTTACGTAGTGTTCTTGGTGCATATTTACGTCGTATACAAGTACGTGTACAAAATAGTACCAAAATAATAAAGAATAGACATGCAATACATACTAAAATAAATAAGAATATTGCTAAAGGTTTACTGACTACATGAAAAGAATTAGTTAAACCGATTACAAATGGATCAGAATCCAATGTAGATGAATTCGATGTAGCATTAACAGTTATATTAGTATTATTAAGACCATCTGTGGTAAAGATAACAGAAGTTGTCGTATTTGTACTATCAGCAGACATGTTAGCACTTCAAGATGACTTGATAATTTAAAGTTCAGCTGTCATATTCCAATAAATAGATGAAAATATCCTGGTTGATAAATTTGACAAAGTATAGAAAGATTTATTCTTATAGAGAAGTGATATCATATTTTTTAAAATTAAAAACATTATTTTTCAATGATTAATACAAAGAATAAGTCTATTTTGTTTGAAGCATTTTATCAAGTAATCAACTACATCGTTTCTATGGGTGTTTTGCATTTTATTTACTGTTTTGTGAATAGTATTTATTAACTGGTAATTGGCTGTTTTGTTTACCATATATATTATACACTATAAAAGCTTATTCATTGGAGGTGTATTATTTTTGATTTTGTTTTCTTGTTTGATTATTTCTGTCATTAACTGTATCATTGAGATGTGATTTCATTTGAATCAATCAATACTTAAACTGTGTCCAATTAAGTATTCTATGTTCACTAGTAGAATAATTGAGTCAATTTGTTGGTACAATGTAAGGAATATAGCTAGTAGGATGTGATGTATTTTTAAAATCTTTAAGCCTTGTCTCTGATAAACAGAACTAGGCTGTATGTAGTTAGTTACTCTCTACATAACTTTATGACTTTATTACCTTCCCGTTCGGTAATTATAGCATAATAAGAAACCTACTGATGAATCAGTTCATCTGAAACAATCTTGACTAAGTCACAGTTTCTGAATACACTATATGAATAACGGTTGAATCATATCTGTCACTAAAACATCAAAAATATTTGAACATGGAAAGCTCAGTAATGATGCCTTTGAAGTGAAGACAGCAGTAAGACAAGGCTGTCTACTATCACCCATGACATTCCTGATTGTAGTGGACTGGATCATGCAACAGACCGTAAGGAGCGAGAAGAGGGGGATACACTGTACCGGGAAAAAGAACCTAGAAGATTTGGATTTCACCGATGACATATGTCTAATGTCACACAAACTTGAAGATCTACAGGCAAAAACTGACAATTTGACAGAAGAGAGAGTGAAGATGTGACTTCAAATGAATGTAGGGAAGACAGAGGCGATGAAGATACCCAACCAATAACACCACCAACAAATCACTATCACTATGAATGGGAGAAACTTAAAGGAAGTAGCCTCTTTCACCTATCTAGGCAGCACTGTTTCAATTACATGTGGCACAGGCACAGACGCGGACGTCAACGCAGCCAGGATCGTAAAGGCAGCAAGACAGGCGTTCATTAACCTGAAATCAGTGTGGAGATCTTCTGCACTCAGCATAAACCATGAGCAATATCCGGATTCTCAACACCAATCAAGTCAGTGCTTCTGTGCGATGGTTCACAGACTTGACGCGTCACCAAAGGCATTTCCAACAAATTACAAATACTCATCAACAACTGCCACATACACTGGCTCCTCACTGAAGCTCAGATGGCCACAATAGTCAGAATAAGCAACAAGGAACTCCGGATGGCAACAAACCAATGAAGCAAGTACCTATCACCCCACAAATTATGCAGAGTGAAGTGGATATGGATTGACCATACACTGAGAAGACCAATCGGGGACGTCATGCGTCAGGCTGGCTGGTCGAGTGGAACCGCGATGGGAAGCGACGAGTTAAGCGTGTGAGGTGAGGGTGATATGGAGGAGATGATGTGAGGAATAAATGAGAGGTTGTTGGCAGTGGTGGAGGCAGGTTGGAAAGATTGGAGATAAGAGAGTGGAATGGAGGTGTGCTACTGAATCCTTATGTTCCATTAGGAACTCAAGGGACAAATGATGATGATGATGAATGGTTGACCATTCAAGCTACATTATGAAGATACTCACGTGGCAACTGTCGCGTTCTACAGTGGAGTCTCATAGGCCTGTTAGTTTGTTGGTTCTGTGTTTTTACTCCTCTGCAATCAATCAATTCGTGTAACAACGCTATACAAATACATGTGGCAGTCGGCAAAACCTCAGTGATTGAAGTAAAATAAAAATCTGGTCAGCAGTTGGGTTTCGTAGCTACCGAATCGAAAATCCGATAGTCTCTGGTTCGAACCTCACCTCGGACTAAAGTGCAATTTCACCTTCAATTGTCACCCAGTATTAATACTAGAGAAGGATTAAATTAATCAAGTAAATATACAAATGTTTATAATTGTGTAATCAGAAGGAAGCTATATTGAAGTTACTAAACCATGTGAAGTCGATATTAATGACTTTATAAATTCAATTTCTCATCCTTTATATTTAGAGAACAATGTTCCTTGATTTGACCGTAGTGTGGAAATCAATAATCTCAAGATAGCCTTTACCAAGAATTGTGCTAAACTGGTTATTCACTGAAATCGAAAGCGACAAGTAATTCTTCGTGTGATAGGATTTTATCAGTACACATCTTTAAACGTATACATGATTGAATCAAAGAAGTCAACTTTTCACAAGCAACTACTCTCATTTCCTGAATGTCAGTTAAGATATACCAATTAGGTAAACAACCCTTGTGCACAAATTCTTTTGAGGTATTATACGGACATTACTGACTGCCACCAAAGTAAGATGAAAGTATTTAGACCACTTTCACCATTTACTAATGTTCTTAATTAAGCCGGTGGTTGAGATGCTTGGAACAAAAATAACCCACAAATACCATTCCACATCATAAATTACTGAAAGTTACTGTAAAAATAGGATACTGTCACCTCTAGGGCTTATATAAATTATCATTATTATTATTTTTTCCTTCAGTTCCTAGTGGAACATAGGGCTTCAGCAACATGCCTCCATTCCACTCTCTTCTATCCAGTCTTTCCAACCTCATTCCATCACTGTCCATCACCTTTCATTTCTTCCTCACATCATCTCCATGTCACCCTCACCTCACACGCCCAACTTGTCGTTTCCCATTTGGATTCCACTCCACCACCTGGCCTCGTGCTTGATGTCTTCAATCGGCCTTCTCAGTGTATGCTCAATCCAGTTCATCTCCACTTCCTTCCTCTGCATATTTGTTGGGTGATAGGTTCTTGCTTCGTTGGTTCGTTGTCAGCCAGATTAAGTTCCTTGTTGATTATTCTTTCTGGCCGTCTGATCTGATCTTCAGCAACGAGCATATGCTGAGTACAGTGCAGTAGATCTCCACACTGATTATTTCAAATTAATGAAAGCCTGTCTTGCTGTCTTTCCGATCCTGGTTTCGACATCCTCGTCTGTGCCTGTGCCGCCACCTATAGTTGAAACAATGCTGCCAACGTTGGTGAGTGAAAGAGATTACTTCGTTTAGGTTTCTCCCGTTCATGGTGATTGGTGGTTATTGTTGATGCTGTTTTTGATTGGGTATCTTCATCACCTCCCTCTTCTCTGCATTCACTTGAAGTCCCGTCTCCCTTCGCTGCCTTGCCTCTTCTGTCAACTTGTTAGTTTTCGCCTGTAGATATTCAAGTTTGTGGGACAAGACATTAGACAAAAATCGCCATTGGCGGCGAACTCCAAATCGTGTAGGGTCTTCTCATCGGTCAACCCAGCGTATTCCCATCTCTCCACTCCTCACGGTTTGCTGCATGATCCAGTCGACTCCAGTCGACCACAATCAGGAAGATTATGGGTGGTAGTAGGCGGCAACCTTATCTTACTGCTTATTGTCTTCACTTCAAAGGCGTCACTGAGCTTTCCATTGTGGATCACTTGGCATGTGGCGTTTTCTTATAACTATTGAATGAGATTGATAAAGGTTTGTGGCACTAGAATCGTAGTGTTAAAGCAGTTGGGTGCCAAATTACTTCTTGGTCAGCGCTGTTGAAGGCCTTTCGAAAGTGGATGAAGTTGAGGTAGAGTTGAGTTGACTGCCATTCTCTACTCTGTTCTATGATGATGAATAGCATGGCGTTGCAATTTGATCCTCATATGATTTGTTCTTCCTGAAGCCAGCTAGCCTGTTCTGGTCGTAATTTTGAATCCAGCGCATTGTTTGGTCTCTGCAGGATGATGCGGCTTAATATTTTGCTGGGGGTAGGCAACAGCATGATTCCTCGCCAGTTCTTGTAAAGGCTTAGGTCTCCCTTCTTTGGGAGTTTGGCAAGATAGCCCTTCTTCCAGTCTGAATAGTTAGATAAAATATGCACAGCCCAAATAAGTTACGTCGGCGATCAACAAGAGAATAATTATGTGCATAACTAACTTTTTCACAAAAGATAGATAAACTTGGCTTGAAATACTCAATAGGAGATCAAACTGTTCTGTTTATTACTGTAATTTCCCATCATAAATGACATATCGCCTTCTGTTCATTCTCTCTTATACATGAAGGCTTTTATGATATCATAATGTCAGAATTTATTTCTAGTTTTGCCTAAGGCATTTAACCTGTTTGACATGAAAGCACTTGGTGAAGCGTGTATTGTTAGTTATGAAAGTAGTAATGATAAATAAGAAAGAAAAATGATATTTCGATGAAAAAACCGCTGAACTGGAATTGTGAAAACGTGTGAAAGAAATGTTTACGATATCATTCCAGTTTGAAACCAAATATCGTCATTTAAAGAAGAGTATGCAAGACGATACTCATTTCCATTTTATTGATCGAACGATTAATTTGCAACAAAGTGGAATTTTGTAGACAAAGGCCTTGATTAAACTTTCCCACATATTTCTATAACACACATGAAATAAACCAGCAAGAATACGGGAATTTTAGGAAAATAGAAGAAAAAAGACATAGTCATCTTTTGGGAACAAATGAATAAAAAGTTATTAATTTTTCAAGATCATCAATACATATTCAAGAACCATTAAGAGCAGTTTTTAGTTATGTTATCTGAAGTCTTCAACCAATGAATACTTGACCTAAGAAAACCTCCCAAAACAGCTCACATGTAAACCATATAACTTCATGAACTACTGCCATTTATCAGTCTAGCTAATGTTAGTTTCTTTATAACCGAATACTACCACAGCTACTATTAGACAAAATCATAAAGTATCAAACGGTATCAAAACACTTTTGTAGTACAATAAAT